AGCATTATAAAGTTACAAATGTAAAAAATAAAATCGAGAATTTTCACACAATAATAGCATTCGGTGGTAGCCATTTTCACCGTGAAGATAACATAAAGTCCGAAATTTTTTTTTTGCATAATAAAGAACATTGCATTAGCTTCAATTTAAGATATATATAAAAGTGTCAGACCTTCCGGAACATTTTCAAAAGTTAAGTTGAAAAAGTTGTCATTTTAAATCCCCCTTGTGGGCAGGTTAAGGATTAAATTTGTGAAAAAAATATACCAAATGAAAGGTAATGATATTATGCATCTATATAAAAAAGAATTATATTGATATGTTTATTTTTGAAAAAGTTATGGCACTTTTAAGTAAAAAAAATTGAAAAAATTTCGAAAATTAGCGATTTTTAAATTTGTAATTTTTTTGGAGGTTTNAAAAAGTTATGGCAATTTTAAGTAAAAAAAATTGAAAAAATATCGAAAATTAGCGATTTTTAAATTTGTAATTTTTTGGGGGATTTCCCCCGTTTACGGGGAACGAGGGAATTTTTTTCAATTTTTGAGGGTAATGTCTTCGACTAGATACGATTTGTGATCTTTTGACATATTGTTCATCAAAATCGGTCCAACGAGAGCTGAGATTGAGCGTGTTCACAGACACAAAAAAAAAAATAAAAAAAAAACACATCATAGTAAAATTAATAACTTCTCAGCTTCGCATCGAAGCTAAAACACATCATATTAAAATTAATACCTTCTCAGATTCGCATCGAAGCTAAAAAATAACAGAAATATCGCAACTCAATTTATAATTTTACAAGAGAGGGAAAAATAACCGATATATACAACGTGTTGCTTATACAACAGCTGATACAGTACAGTACTGTACTTATCTATTTTTATTTTTATTAATAAGAATAATTTTATATTACTATTTATATTAATATTTAATTATTTATTTAAATGTGTATATTAAAATATAAATAAATATTATAAAAATAAATTAATTTTAACAATAAATATATACTTTAAATTTAATTTAAAGTTTGTACATTAAAACTATTATATAACGTTTCACACAACTTTGTTTTGTTTATCACATCTACAATCAATATATATCGCCTATTTTATCAAGTTTGATTTATTTTAACATTTTTGACATAATGTTTTTTACCGTCTTATTAAGTAGCTTTATTTATTCTTGATTTTCTGTTTCTCTTTTTTTTTTTTTTACTTCCTCATGTATATATTTTTTCCATCGTTTTTCCATTGACTCGATTTTTTTTATGGCAGAATTTATTTTTAATTGAATATCTAACTTTTGTTGATTGTTAGAATTAGGTTTATTACTGCGCATTACTACCGGATCCTCAACTACTATATTATTTTTATTAACAAATCCAACTTTAGT